TGAGCTGATCATGCAGCAAACAATAAGTGTCAGTGAACAATTGATCCATTTTTGGTTGTTAAAGTGACCAACTATCGATTAAGAAAACAGTTTAAAATGTGCATCCCTAACTCTAACTCCGATTTAAGTAAATAAAAAAGTACTTTTATGATATACATACACTGAAGGCAGGTTCACCTGGACAGGTAACCAGTCTATCACAGGGCTACACTTAGAGACAGACAACCAAGCACACTCACATTCACACCTACGGACAATTTAGAATCACTAATTAACCTCAGTATGTTTTTGGACTTTGTGGGAGGAAGCTGGAGAACCCGGAGAGAACCCACGCTGCACGGGGAGAACATGCAAACTCCACACAGAAAGATCGCAGGCATCTTAACAGGGATCATCTAGCTGTGATGTGACGGTGCTAACCACAACTTTAGCTTTTCTCGAGTTACCAATAAACGAACTGGAAAAAAAGGAAAGGTTCTTAGGAAAATCAGCATTCAACTAGAGTTCCTACTAAGTTTTGAAGTGAGTCAGAGCCTGAGTTACCATACACCTACTCAGGCACTTTAAGCACACAAAAGGCTGGTGATTCAAAAAAAACGTACAATTTGTGCAAATACAATGAGACAATATGTCAGTCTGAACACAACTCTAAACTTCCTGTCAGGTTTTATAGATTCCTGCAACTGCTTCAGGCAAAATACTTCCCCCTGTACTAAACCTTAAATTGGGTTTATCATCCAATAAAATGGCATATTGTTTCCAGCATTTACACATCAGAGCCTTTCGCTGTACGTCTAAATACAAAGAAGAGTAAACACATGAAATTAATGCACACCATCTTCCTCCCGTCGCTCATCTCAGCATGAGGTGCTTTCAAAGCGAGAAACAGTCAAAGGGGAAACAAACTTCATACCACTTCTACAAACTGCAAGGCCGTCTTATCTGGAGGAAAGAAAAAAAAAAAAAGTTGGCTCACACTCAGTGTTGGACTGCCGGGTGCTTTAATACCCGAGATGAATGGATACTGCCACAGCAAGATTTGTTCGTGACTTGTAAAACATTTAATGAGAAGTAATTGGGTCAATCTGCTCAGGGTGCGAGTTCTTCTGCCCTTTGTCCGAGCAGTCACTTGATAGTCGTGTCACAGGCCAGGAGCTAAATTGACGTAATGTAATGAGGCTAGACTTCCTCTATAGATCTAATGAGTGAAGCGCCGCTGTGTTCCACTTACACTCTTGTCTAGGAGAAATCAGTTTATTCCTGTCCGGCATTTAATTAAGTTAAACTGCGTCATATCCAGCAGCTAATGTTTCTCTGACATCATTAAATAGAAGCGCTGTTTGCTGTATAAAGGGCTATAGTGCCAGTTTGTCACGGCTATGGTTAGTTAATAGGATTTGTTGTGTCCTGCAGGAAAAAAAAAAAAAAAAAGGATGGCAGAGACATTTTCTGAGAAATATTACACAAGTTATATTATATGAAAATGGGGAACCAGACAGCAGATGATCATCAGGAGTGTGGCTAGCGGGGCTACCCAGAGCCATGCTCACATCCAGTCATTGACATCGAGTGAACACGGCCCAAATGTACCGAACGAAAACACACGCTGATAGATGTCTGATAGGAGACTATAGCGTGTGATCTGCTGTAAAATGAAGCCATACACGTCTGCAAAGCTAAAGACAGCAAACGACTTTCTATGATGGAAGGCTGAGGAATACACCTATCAGGTAAAGCAAATAGTTAAAAAAAATGGAAAGAAGGTGTCTCATTTGTTGGCTCAGTGAACTGTAAAAAAGCAATAGGCTACACATGATTAGACAACTGTTGCTACCAGCTGTGGTTGAGGTTATGCTTGGAGCAGAGGCGGCTAATAGGCTGTTCCGACTGTACTGTCAGTCATCGTTCTTCACACTGATTGCTATATAAAATTTAAATAACTGGGCACGTTTCCATGTGGGAAATGATATTAGAGTCTGCCCGTCAACTACAACTTCAAAATTTTTTTATTTTTTTTGTGACAGGGGCTGCAAGGTGGAGCGGTGGTTAGCATCGTTGCCTCGCAGCAAGAAGGTCGCCGGTTCGCGTCCCGGGATCTTTCTGCGTGGAGTTTGCGTGTTCTCCCTGACCCTAGTGAGGATTAAGTGGTGTATAGATAATAGATGGATGATAATGGATGGATGGATGGATGGACGGATGGATGGATGATAATGGATGGATGATAATGGATGGACGGACGGACGGACGGACGGACGGACGGACGGACGGACGGACGGGTGGATGGATGGATGGGTGGATGGATGGATGGATGGATGGGTGGATGGATGGATGGATGGATGGATGGATGGATGGATGGATGGATGGCGTTGTGACAGACAGACAGGCACACACACACCTTGCTACGGTCATTATACATGAAAAGAAAGACCCTAAGTTGTGCAGTATAAAATATTGAAATGTTTTCAAGGCGGGGAACGGACCAATCACATTGTTTTCCGCCACAGCTTTTTATGCTGTACTCGGTCCAACAGTCAGGAGAATATAAACAGATGCACACTTTTCACACCCCATCCATCCTTTCTTGTCTGCCACTTGCAGTTGTTCCTTCCCTCCATCAATCCCCCGCTGATGGACACTTTAATGGATGCTGGCAGGAGCTCCGAGGCTTTTCACTCACAGATTCACAGGCTCATCCTCGCCCCAGTGCTAATCACACACACAGGTCGCTGGACTAGGAAGGAGGGACTGATCTTTAAATATAATAGGCCTCCTAAAGATGCCACTTTGCTTTACCATAAAAGACCGGTTCGACCAAATTACGTAACCGCCCCCCCAGTGGGATCTAGCCGTGCAGAGTTTAAGGTTCCGAGCTCCAAGTCTCCACCACTTAAATTTATACTGCCATCGTAATAAACTGCAGATTCACATTTCTATCCTGGTGTATTATTATTTCTCTCATTCCGTCCTGATTGGTTTCCACGTGTCGCTAATACACAGAGGGCGTCTCGGATCACAAAGACGGATCTCCGACCATGAGGAGCACAATAAATAAACATCAAGTCCTGCTCTGCCTCCCTTATTGTCGAGCTCATTAAACGACATCTTGCTTTGCTGATCAAACGAGACGACTGGCTGCTCTATTGTCTGTGAACGGAGCGCCACAATACCCGCTGCAGATACTACTTAGCATTTAGCCTAATCTTAATTCATTCTGCTTGATTTGGGATTTCATTTGTCTTCAATTATTGCAAGGTCAGGCCCTGCATATTTGATGAGTCATTACTGAAGAAGCTCCAGGCTAACGCTGGGTAACAGCACAGCCTATGCCAACGTAGAATATGACAAATACCTCTCTGTCCCATCCAGTTTATCTCACTACACCTCAGATCGACCATGCGATGCTGAATCAAGTAACTATCTGATCACATGGTAGGCATTACAGCCTGAGAAAAGACCAAAGAAGAGCAAATCTGTTGTTAACAATTTCTGTTTATTTTGTTATTTCTCTTTACATACGGTTAAAGACCCAATAAAACTGATTAACTGGTATCGTACAGGCTATTCTTTCTCTTCCTGTCTCTCATAGTAGATCTGATATTGGATAATTTTCTTCCCTTTTCACTTGAAACTGTACTAACTTCAAAGTGTTGGGTGACTGAAAACAAATAAAACGATTCGCTGCTGATGCGACAGACTGGACATGTTGGGAAGAACTACAAGACGTTCTCCATCTGTTGACCCACAATACAGCTCCGGTGACATGACAACGTGTGCAAAATGCTGAACTTTCCTGATGTGACGCTGAGCAGATAACATGTAAACTGAAATAAATATCAAGTACGTTTATAACCGTATCTTATCATTGTATTTAAGCACGGCGTACCGAACAATTCAGGACAAGTTCACAAACCGCTACTCCCCCCCCCTCCTCCAGCAAAGGCCGAAACATTTTGTCTAGTTAATGTGTAATTTGCTGTTAAATCTCATATATCTTTGTGCTGCAAACACGTGCCAAGATAAACAGTGTGGGCAGGGCAGAACTCGCTCGCTGGCTGAATTTGGCGGGTGAATGTTGTTTTTTTTTCTCCTCCTTTCTTTTTTAAACGACTACCACAACATAGTATGATACCATCTTATTACTTAGCAGAACACAAATTTCTATCTGACACAAACCAGGCTAACAAAAGCCAATAAATTAAATTCCACCACACCAAGAGGAGCCGTTTCACAGGAAAAAGTAGTGAAATGTCAGCTTACTGGACAGATGTGCTGTACAGCTGTGTACCTCAGCTGCACAAAGACGCCGGCACCCTTATCCTTCGAGGAGAGCCCAAAATACACAGCGTACTATGGGAGGCTGAAAAAAGAAACTAGCTATTACACTTTCCCTGCCACTGTATGAAAGATCAACATGTGCTTCAGGCAAACTGCCGGTTTGAGGGCTTTGCGTATCTCTCTAAAGTATCACTCTGCAGCCAGCTGTCCTTGTGCAACCCCAAATATTTACTCCCTTCTTAACCCAAATGAATTCGACACACCCTGCGAGCTGCTGACTTCGGTTCTGTCAAACGGTTTCTCGAAGCTGCACCGTGCGCCCACGTTGCAACTCTGACACACAGCTGCTCACGTGAAGGAAAAAAAAAAAAAGCAGAGGTCACGACTGCTTTAAATGTTATGAGAACTGTCATAAACAGAACGTCTGCTTCACACCTTAAGAGACGTGCCCTCATTCTCTGTTCTGCTCAGAAAGTGAGTTATCCCTCCTGGCAACATTGGGTAAAAATGTGCTTGCATGTGTGTCAAATTCTGAAAGTAGACTGGTGCCTGGGAGAAAATCAGTTCGCAAATTTAACAAGCACACCTCAAGTATTCCAGCACTCATAACCTTGGACTGTAACACGTAAACGGCACGTGCGAATGAGGTTAAACGGATAGCTAGCCCATTAAACCGAGCGCATGCATTATTAACGAATTAAAGAGCAGGTGAGAGCTCAGCTTACCTTTCACCTGAGCCGCAGGAGACACAGCATCCAGAAGCCTTTGTTGGAGCAGCCCGTCTCACCTGCAGAGGTACAAAAGTTAGAATAAGGTTTCACTTCAACTCACACAGTACAAACAGACACAACCGCCTCTCCCCCGGTGTCTCTCCTTCCCATGCTCCTCCTGGTCACACCACTGTGCTAAGGCCCCACCCCGCTCAGTCCCCGTCCCAAGGAAACTGCCAACACTGCTCTGGTTTTTTTTTTACCTGCACACACATCATTAGCTGGAGACTGGTTAGAATTGGGTCAAAATAACTACTGGCCATTATGAATCCAATCCCCCAAAAAGTAATCAAAATTAAAAGATTAAATGATGGCACTCTCGATGCTTTTTCCGTCTGTGCAGTGTGCTCATTAAGTCAACAGACAGGCAGTGAACCAATACTCAAACACTCGCTGACACACATCATCATATCTGCTACTGGTCTTACACTAGACAAACACACAAACTACCACAAACACAACACCGTCACGTCCATCTTTAACAAACTTAACATGAATTCAAACTCTCACCCGAAGAGGCTGCGCTTCAACATATATTGTATTGTTTACGGCTAAAAAAGAACGTTCTCGACGCCCATTTCTGGTTTCATTTTTGTTTTCCCTTGAAATGCCTTATAATCCTCCTTGTGGAAAGAACAATGCATTCTCCAACAGCTGGGATGTGTGATAAGCCACAAATCCAAAAAAACCAAAGCAAAACACACATTAAATCATACAGCAGGATGCACACACACACTCACACACACACCCCGCGAATGTGCAGTAAATACAATAATATGCCTATTCCTAACAGAGTCACAAGTTCCATAATGCAATCAAACAACACACTGATTTCAATATTGCGAAGGTTTCACAGCAAGGAAACACACACGTCCTGCTTTTTATTCTCTTTTGCACTGTATAATTGCAGGACTTTTTAATTTGTAGCCCTCAAAAAAAAAGATCTGAGTACATTTACGCACAATTTCCAACAAATACTTTCCCCACTATCATACAGGGTTGTGTGATTTATCCGTGCATGATGCTAGCAAGTGCTGCTATAAGTACATTAGCCTCAGTAGTGATGCTTTTCTCTGGTTGTCCTTACACATATTTACCGGGAAACGGGGCTTAAACTTCACCAGCTAAGAAAGAAATCTCATTAAACAGGAACACTCTCCCAGACTTGGCATGGGTCTCTGCAGATGACACCTTCATTAATAATCTAATGGCAAACCAACAAGTGTAAAAACAGGTTGGGTGGAATCTGTGCCTTTAAATCCTACCGCAGAGCAAAAGGAGGAAGCCGTAACACCCAAGTACGCCTAACCTAAATAAGAAGTGAACTGAAAGAGAATCCCTGAGCTAACAGCGCTTGGAGGGACAGAGAGGGAACGGCAGCAGTGCAGAGGAGATGGAGTCGAGCACCGGCAGCAAACAGAGGAGAAGCAGAAAGACGTGGAGAAGATGGAAGGAGGGGCGACGGCATCCCGACAACAGCTCTGTTTCACTGCCTTTGTTTGGATTTTGTCCGACAGAAAAGGCACAAGAGTGACAAAATGTACACAGTGTGCCGTGTGCGAGGAGAAGTGAAGGAAGACAGCGTGACCCAGAATGTGGCACGGTTTGGATGGAAGGCCTCCAGAACTACAGCAGAGCTCCACGCTCCCGAGCTGCCCCACATTTCCTCGCTCGGACCAGATGTTTAAGTGTCTGTCACGGTGCAGTAAAGTAAAGCACATGCCACGTAGGAAAGACCAAAGAATGACTCAAGACACAGAGTACTGTTTGTGTCTACTCATAGCATAAGATTCAGCGAGGGAACAACCAGCAAATTGAAGGCTATACGGTTATGGATGGCTGAAGCACCGCCACATACATATTGTATAACCGGCGATCTGCATGCCGCTCTCTCCGAGCACACAACTAACTAACATTTACATAAGAACACTGTCAGTTGGCCAACTTTTCCCAGCAGAGAGCCAAGACTGACTCATAGCAGGGGTCCGGGCCAGATCCTGCCCACTGATTTATAGTTGTGTCTCTGGCTAAATTAAATAAAACAAAAGGAAGGGTGTGAATAATGACTCGAGGCTAGAAGTAGTCGCTGGAGCTGACAATATCGTCGGGGCCAGAGAGTGACGCAACACTGCGAAACAATAACTAGCTTTTTATTTTTAACTGATTATTCTATTTAACATCCCTCGGTACCCTATAGCATCGTGTTATCAGGAAATCTTAATTAATAATTCTGTTTGTATTACAGTTCAGTTGCAGTCACTTGTACAATGAGGGAACTTTCTTGTTTTCAAATAGCATCCAAACACAATAGGATAAAAACATTAAAAAGAAAAAGAAAAAAATCAGGAAAACTTGTCTGCTTGTCATCTAATAGCTTCTGATGTGTTAACAGGTTATTGATTCTTCCTCTCGCAGCACAAGACCCTGTTATGTCACAAGTTCTGATTGATGTCTGTTTGACAAAGAACCTCGATACAGACTTTTTTCACATCACAAAACCTTCATAAATGCAGCATCTTGTCGGTGGCCACCTCCACTCACCCTCGTCTCCATCCATGCGTGGCCACTTAGCTTAATGAAGTCTTAAGGCTGCAGCAGGTCACACGTCTGTATAAGTTTAGGGAGAAAATCTTTCCAAAAAAAAAATAACCGATCCTTCGTCACAGTCCTTCATTTGCTCTTGTATCTGAGACTCTAATCCAAGCGGACGATGGAGGCTGATATTTAAAAATGTCCTTAGGTATACAAAAAACTGTTTGTTCTGTTCAGCCTGATAACAAACAGACCATAAACTTCAATCCACTTAACACAGAAAAATCAGAAAGCCGGGACACAAAGTGAGCACTCGCTTGTTCGTAATAGCAGCAGATTAGGCTAAAACCGCACCAGGGCGAGGGACACTTAAAATTAAGTGCACTCAGATGCCTTGCAGACTAATTATTGCTCATCACATGCCCTCCTGCCCTGGAGCCTGTTGTTTGTGCCATCAGGTTTAACTCTGACCGGGCACAATAAAACTGGTAAACAACTGTCCATCAAAACGGGACCAGCAGTCAACAGTGCATCAAAAACAAACCATGAGAAGTGTTGTTTATCTGCTTCAAGTTGTGGACCGTTCTATGGCAGCAAAAGAAATATAGTAAAGCATGGTAAGCAGCTGTCTGAGGGTCTTAGTGGACATGAGTTCCCTGAGCAGCCTAAAGGACGACTTCATCATTTTTCACACATCATCACAAATAGGGAAGTATATCTCCAGCACATATATCTCACTTCCCTCCACACATGCTGCCTCCACAGAGATCTCCCCGTTCATTCGCCAGACTGTACTTCAGAGTACAGACTGTACTTCCTTGTTTTAGGAGACACAGAAACCTTGGTGGAGCCTGGAGTGCAACCTTGGAACAAACAGATCGCAAAGCATTCTGGACGGATTTCTGAGTGACGGGAACAAACATGTCCCCCTTTTTTTGTTTTCTCTAGTCACTGACCAACATTGAAACTCACTTTCCACGAGTAAAATTCCTCTTCACACGAATACATCTTCCACAGCTTCCTTCCCAATTATGACAACATAAATTCAAAATACGCTTCTGTAAACATCCACCGTATAATATGAGTCTTCTCCTCATCATAGAGCCCATCATTCTGCACACGAACCGCCGAGATATTAAGTGCAAACAGTAGTTAATCTTCATAAGTGAACTGTGGCTGTGGGAGGCCGGGCTTTTAAACGAGGCTCTGATCATCAAGCTGCTCTTTAATCTTACAGACCTGCAGCACAATTGCAAAGCGGCCTTATCGGAATTATAGGTACAGTCTGCAAGAAGAGGGAGGACGGGGTGTCTTAATACCTCTTTTATACACATCACATGGTTCGACTAATCCTTACATAAGCGCCAAATGAATCTGAGTGTCAGTTACCTCCATTCACTTGCTCTCTCAGGCTCGCACACCGTTTTGCAAGATAGTTAAATAAATGCAAACGTGAATATCAATAAATAAGCTTGTCATCCATAATACAGACACCTGTTCACTACGCAGCACGTGCCCTGCAATCAGTTCACGACGGGAGAGAAGCTACGAGCCCAGTGAGATCAGTGGGTTGATCTGCAGGGGGTAAATAAGATCATTTTGTTCTATGTGCACTGCTTAACAATTTCCATACGGTGAACAGAGGAGCAGTTATGTTTCATATGATTTATCCACAATTTAAACTAACCTTTACACATGTCTTTACATACTGTCTGCTTCTGAGTAAGACGTAATCACTTCACTCTATGTCCCTAATTTACACCATGTAGTAGACTTAGTGGGCAATATTTGGAAAACTACACTCACATACCAGGAATTAGACAAGATCGATATCAATTTCTTCCATGTGCCTTCGGTGCAAAGATCCGACCAAGACGTGTTTATCCGAGCACAAAAGAGCGGAAGCAGGGGGAAATGCTAGAAGCAGGGAAACACAAACATCGGAGGGAGGGAGAGTGCAGAAATAAACGCTGCAGCAGTGACAGAACTACTTTCTACAAACGGTTCTGGTTTCATTCCCGCACGACGCTTTGTCACTGCACTGCACCCGCATGCTGTCCGAGGTACGGTCTGGTAAACGTCAGAACTAAAGCCACCTCTGATACTGCCAGTTTTGGATGCAGTATCACTTTAAGACTGAAATCAGATGATGGCCCCATGTCATGGAAAGCACCCATGTTCTAAAACTCAAGGTCTTTGAAAGGTTAAGGCAACGCTTGCTTTCATACGGCTGCCTGGCATGAAGCGCTCCAGCTGGGTGTCGCAAGTTTCCGTTTGGTGTAACCCAACAGCGTCACTTTCCCTCCCTCCCGACCGACCGACCGGACTGCTTCATTAGGAAAACAGACACTGACACGATTCGCTTTCCAAAGCAACAAGCGGTAACATCAGATCAACAAGTATTAACAGATTTGTCTCTTGGCAATGAAGTGCCGTGACATAAAAACATCCAGATGCCAAAAAATTAGAGCCAATCTGACTCGGT